AGTGAACATGATTTACTCAATAAATGTAAAAGTATGGTACTAATTGGTTTTTGGACAGTGGCATAAAATTTAGAGGGGATGAGATTCTTACTTATCCGTGTTGTACGCCACTGGTGAAGTTTATAATAATAATATTAATATCGTCTTTATTATTTCCAATATAAATTTACAATTTTCATAATTTTAACAATTATACAAGAATTATTATTGAAAATAAAGAGCGAAGTTCAGATTTGAGAAAGAGGATCCACCACAAAATCTGTTCTTCCATTTAACCCAAATATAAATAATAAGCATATGCTAGTACAAGACTAGAATGGTAGGATATATTAAATTAATTTTAATTAATTAATTTTAGTATTTGAGGAGTAATAAACTTTAATAAATTTTAATTTTGTTTATTTAACAAATATAGTTTGAGGCAAGGTTTGAACCTGGTTATATTTAATTTTATTATGTTATTAGGTAACTGATTGTAAAGATGGCAGATCTGATATCCAAATGATCGACGAAAGAATTCTGTATTGAACGAGGGTATTGACAGTGATCCCTTATGTCTAATATTTATGTTATGTACGTCAGTGCGATATGTTATTTTTCTATGAAGATATGACGGTTTTTTAGTTACAATGATTCTATTCTATTTTGTACTTTTTGAATTTTGTTCTTATACTGAATAGTTAGATGTGGACCATAGACAAAACTTGCGTAATTAAATATTGAAAGAACTAAAGGTTCACATAACTTCACTTTCACGTGAAATGGGAGAAAATATCTATTACCATAAATTATTTTTAGTTTAGAATAAGCACGTTAACTACAGTTAAAGATACATTATTTATTTTAATATTAAGTCTGCTCGAAACATTTAATTTATTATTTTCTGGTCCAAAAAGAATGACGTTTGATTTACTTGAATTTATGATTAAACAATGATCCGTAGCAGTTTTGATAAAAGCTTCTAAGTCGGCATATATAGTTTCACATGCTATTTCCACTCTATCAAAAGGAAAACTGTAGTAGAGTTGGGGATCATCTGCGTATAAGTGAAATTTGCAGTGTAAAGATTTATATGGAGTATATGGAAAATAGCAGTGGCCCAAGAATGGAGCCTTGTGGAACACCCGATTTAATTGAGATATAATCTGACAAATTATTATCAATAACTACACATTGTTGTCTGTTTTGCAAGTAATTACTTAATAGCGATATCGCTCCTTCTGAGAGGCCTATGTATTTTAACATACTTATTATTAATTTGTGATTAATCGTATCGAATGCTCGACTGAAATCAAGAAGAATTAACAAGGTGTGTAATTTTTTATCAGTTGCTTTAACAATGTTATCAGCTATTTGTAAAAGAGCAGTTGTGTAACTAAAACCTTTCCTGAAACCCGATTGAGTAATTCGAAATATATTCTTTTAGTTGCATCTCCATCACCTTTTCCAGCACTTTTGATAAAACCGGCAAGCCATGGAGCTTCATTTTTAGTGACTCTAGATGTAATAGTTGGTGCATGTCTATCAAATAGGTTATTCAAACAATTAACTAAATAAGAAATTTTTTCATCAATGCTTTCCTGTTCAAATATTCTATAGAATGCTGTATTGTATAAGTCTACTATAAAAATATCGATATCAAATTTTTTATAATTACGATACGTTACCATTTTGAGAACAGTTTGTTCCCCACCTACAGTTAGCTTTATATGAGTTGCAGAATGATCTGATATATTGTGGTGAATAATTCCCGACTCTACCACGGTTTCTTCCCGCACTATAACATAATCCAATAGGGTAGCTGAAGTTGACGTAACCCTTGTTGGAACATCAATTAGTTGACGTAAATTTAGAGATTCTAAGATTAAATAAAATTTATTTACATAGTTACTTTCATTATCAAACAAGTTCATATTAAAATCACCCATACAAATTGTTTCGTCGACATTCGGACATATAGAAATCAGAGAATCCTCAAATTCTTCTAAAAATAAACCAGTATTCTGATCGTGTGGTTTATAGATAACACCAACTGCCAGTACTTTTTTTTGAATTAAAATTTTTATCCAGAATTGTTCCCAAATAAGATCTTGTCTACTGGGAATTATTTGACAACGGAATTTATTTTTAAAACCTCTACCATTTCGGTTTCGATCTGCTCTGTACAAATTATATTCATTTATACTTAAATCAATATTTAAAATAAAAATTTTTAACCAAGTTTCACAAATTAATAGTACATCAAATTTATTTTCTAATAAAAATTTTTTAACCTCATTTATTGATCCTAGTAGCGACCTAGCGTTTAAACAGCCTATATATAAATAACACATAAATATAAATTGAGAGAATACTTTATAATTTTATATCCCAAAAAAAAGAAAATAAAAAAGAAATTAATATACACATGTATATGACTAAGCAAAATATCATAGTAATTAAGAATAATCGTCATCTCTCTAAGTAATTAATGCGCTTTAATCAGTTAAACCAATCAAAATCATTACACGATATTAATGATTAAATTAATCAAATCAAATTACTAATACCTACTACGCCCATGGAATAATAATAATTTAATAATTGAAATTATTAGTCTTCTGACACGAACCAACAGTAAAGAAAAAAAAAAGAAAACAACTGATAGGCGTTAGCAAGTGAAAATAATAAATAAAAACTTACTAAGATAAAGATATGTAAATTAAAGAGTTCAACTTCGATAAATATACAAATTAATATATTTAAGCGCTACACTGTAAAAAAAACGAGAGAGAGTAACCACAAAATGTTTATTCAATTTCATTATTTGAAATTAACGTTTTTTTTTCCATTCACAAGAGCAAAAATCTTTCCATCTAGACTCCATACATTTTGTCGACCAAATTTTAACACAGCTGATTTATATAATGTTAAGTTAGATTTAGTCAAATCTTCTTTAATAGTGAGACCACTATTTTTAAGAAATTTTTTTATTAGAGAAAACACCCTTTTTAATTTTATTCGAAATAAACCTGATGAGGATTGGACGCGGATACTCTCTTGCTTCTTTCTTACCAACTCGATAGCACATATCTATATCAGAAAGTAAAATATTCGATTTCAGTTTTTCGTGTAAAGTTTCCAAGACCTTTGTTTACAATTGATTACTTTTTTCTCCATTTAACTCATCCATACCAAAAAGTAAAATATTATTTAACTCATATTTACGTTCCATAATTTCACGTTGTTTCTCTATGTAATTGATTTTTTCTGAATTGTTAGCAACTCTTTCTTTCACACAATTTAGGAATTCTTCAAATTTTGAGAAAATATTTAAACGATTACTTATCATATTGGTTTGTTCTGTGCAAACCTTAACAATAAGGTCTTCCATTTCTTATTGTAGCCTTGTTTTCTGTGGCATTTTTATCAGTGTAGAAAAATGTTTTGAAGATTTCAGCAATTAATTGACGAAATTATATTTATAGGAAGTATATTATTAATAACCAATTATAAGACAATTTTCTTACTTCAGCACTAAGATCTTTGCATTAGGTATTTACACAATAACTTTTGAAATTATAGGATAGCGATAACCACTAGAATTGAACTATTTTGCAAAGAGAACATAAAACGTGTTATTCGCGTATCATACCAGTGGCATATTATTTAACTGATTATTTTGCTAATATGACACCAATCATGTTTACCAAATTTACTAAAATTATACTGAGAAATAAAAAAATTATAGTCATTAATATTTTTTGAATTTTCAACTTTAACATCCTATATTTCGGAAACCAGAATATTTTATCTAAGCATATTTTATTTTATCGTCTTATTTTTAATCAGATAATTTTCAGTTGTTCTGTGTCCCATTCTTATTGAGATATCCTGTATATAATTGTACTTTTAACTTGATATTCAAACATCGTTTTTGAGAATACAAATCAAATAAACACAGGTTGATTGTAATAACAAAATAATCATTTATTCTATGATTATATATGGGTAAATAATGTCCTCTATATTTCGTTTCTACTCTAATCTAAACAATGCCTAAGTTCTTTAAAATTATCTAGCGCCTTTTATAAAAACCATTTTTCTATCAACGTCAAACTAACCAACGACTAAAAATTTTCTCTATCATCTATCTACTTCATCCTTTAGTGTTCTCTAATGAAAATGGATACTTTCTTAGTTGAAAAGCTAAGTATTGGCTCCCTTTGAAGTCTTTTAAAGGTCCTTAAAAGGAAGTACATTAGGAAATTATGTAACGTGTTGAATATAATAAAAACAATATTTGAACTTGAAATTTAAATGATGGAAACAATGTTTATCGTGGTCTCCACATATTTTTAGTTATTTAGTGCGGATATAGAAAGTCTTTTTTGTTGAAATTACGTGTGTACATTCATAAAACTGTAAGTGCATAATGTGATTAATTTCTAATTCAGTTTAGCGAATATACGTTAATTAATTAAATTTACAAATAGTAACAGTCGTTATCAGTAAGCAATTTCTTTCGTGGTGCCGGCCACATTCCAGCGGTATCTACGGACTGCCAGGGGCGTATCCAATTCATTGGGTACCTTAAATCTTTAAATTAATATGGAATCTAACAGTAATTCTCAAACATCTTCCCGAACTCAAAGTCAATCTAATGCTTCAAAAACTTATTCTTCAGCTGTGTCACAGACTCAATTCCCGTCCAAAAAACAAGCAATTCTTTTTAGTTCTCTAGACAATACTCGTCTGCAAGATTACCTAATTCCCCTTGGATCCCAAATCCAACCAAAGAATATCATATTCTCTTCGCGATTATCCAACAACCGGATTTGTATTTACCTGACAAACAAGCAGATTGTTGACGAATTCATGGATAATAGCGGTTATATTGAGATAAAAGGTGAAATAGTTAGAGCCAGAAGACTTATAACACCGGCTATGAGACACTATACCGCACAATTTAATAATAGGAGAATTACAGAAAGTTTGTTTAAATCTAGTTTCACCTGTAGCTTTTAAAAATTAGCTCTGCTCTACCTGAATATAGTCACAGTTTTAGAAGACAAGTCTACATGAGTCCACATAATTTTTCTCTACCTGATTCATTTACACTGGACTTTGATGACACCACATATCGAATATATCTGTCTCAAGATGGTATGGTTTGCTATAATTGTAAAAAACCTGGACATATCGTATCCCAGTGTCCCAAAAACACAAATGCATCGCCATCCACTCAAACAAACACAATACCACAAACTACTACTCCAACTGTACCGTCTGTATCCAGTATGCCGATTGTCTCAGCTAATATAAAGATACCTTCTCACACTATAACACCGCAAACCAATATCCTACCCTTATCTATTCAATCAACGACCGTTTTAGCGAATATACAGCAATCAGCAACCGCAGAAAACTCAACACAAGAAGCCATCATTCAACCCTTACCTATGGAGCAAAATCCACTATTAAAAGACTCAGGTCATAAACGAAATTCGTTCACCAGACACGGATGTAATTGACAAGGAAAACAGCATCTTCACCCTTCCCAAGACAAAACCTAAATCTAAAAAAACGAAGTCCAACTCTTCACCTCCAACAATTGTCTCGAGTAATACCAATCTACATCGACTGGCGTCAGACAAAGACTTTATCATTAACCACTCTCCTCCTTTTATACTTAATTATAACCAACTTCAGTTACTTTTAACTAATGTTACTGGTTCTTCAGATCCTATCAACGTTGTCCAAGAATATACTTCAGATATGATAGCAGTGACACACATGTTATCAAAAATCTACCCCCATATAAAAAATCCATCCCTGAAGAGAAAATTCACAACTTTGAAACGAAAACTCTGCCTGTCTTGGCAATGACGTCTCGGAATCAGATAGTGACACATCACATTTAAGTCAGTAAAGATACTAACATCTAATTATTTAATATTTAACAGAATTCAAAACATTACTTCAGTGGAATATCGATGGATTCTTTCATCGACTTGCAATGTTACAAATCCTCATAGGCGAACATTCCCCTGACATAATCTGCATCCAAAAAACCAATCTACATCCACAGAAAAATTATAATTCAAAGCGCTATCATTGTTTTAGAAAAGACAGAACAACCAATGCAAATTTTTCTTCCGGAGGCGTAGCTACATTGATCAAAAATTCGCTCAAAGCAAAAGTATTTCCTGTTACCAGCAATCTTGAAGCCATTGTTGTCGAAATTTCTGCATCTACTCCATACTATATCTGTAATATTTACCTTCCCTCAAGTTCTTCAGCAACGTTTAATGACTTGAAAGGCCTTATGGACCAAATACCATCTCCCCACGTAATTACAGGAGATTTCAACGCGCACAATATAGTCTGGGGCTCCTCGTCTACTGATGTCAGAGGCAAAACAATAGAAAAACTCATCTCACATTGCCAATTAAATTTTCTTAATGATGGATCACCAACTAGGTTTAACATAAACATTGGAGAATCATCAGCAATTGACCTAAGTTTTTGTGACCCTGCCTTAACACCACGGTTGTCCTGGGAAGTTCTCCAATATACTTATGGTAGCGACCATCACCCTATTTTAATTAAAAATGATTTTAGCCACCCGGGCGATACGTTCTTGCCAAAATGGAAACTTAATTCGGCGAATTGGTCTAGCTTTAAGAGTTACATAGATAATAAAATACAAGGCTGCATAATAAGCAACAATATCGACGAATCTTTGTCGAACTTCAACAAAATTATTTTAGAAGCAGCTGATTTATTTATTGAAAAAACTAAAATTGTGAAAAACCATGTTCCTGTACCTTGGTGGAATGTAAATTGCGAGAAAGTAATCCGAGAAAGCAAAACCGCCTTAAATAAGTATAAAAAACATAAAACACTGGAAAATAAGACAGAATTCAAAAGACTTAAATCAACAGCACACCTTACGATCAATAAAGCAAAAAGGACATCCTGGACTCAATACGTCTCAGAAATAAACAGCTCAACTCCTGTCACTGAAGTCTGGAACAGAATCAGAAAAATCTCAGGCCTAAAATACACTCCAAAAATTTCTAGTTTGAAAGTCAATGATAGGGTAATAACTTATCCACCACTGTTTCTGGTCGGTATAAATGACATATTAAAAACCTTAACAACACCTTTAAAAGCACGCTTATATGCTGATGACCTGGTAATCTATATTAAAGGGAAAAATGTGGATATCATGTCAACTTTTCTGAAAAACTTTTTGATGAAATTGGAACAATGGTCTCTTGATACAGGATTTATTCTTTCAAACCATCAGTAAAAATCTTGGGAATGTGGTTTGACCAAAAGCTATCCTGGAAAGAACAGATAAAACATTTAACCCTTTGCTGTCATAAGAGACTAAACATAATGAAGACTCTGGCAAACAGAAACTGGGGCTCAGACTATCATACCTTACTAACCATTTATAAAACTTTAATAAGATCAAATATTGACTACGGGTCTATTGCATATGGATCAGCCAGCAAAACCACTTTAAAACTGTTAGACACTGTACACAATGCTGCTCTTCGTATTGCTCTGGAAGCCTTTCGCACTTCCCCTATTGAAAGTATCTACTGTGAAACTGAAGAACCTTCCCTGCACTACCATTATCACATGCTACTTCAATAGCCTCTAATAAAATAAGCCACTTTTCAATAATACCTTGTAACACCTCAGGACAAATTCTTTTTCAAACTTTCGTTAACCTCTAGCATTTTCACCGCTGAACTCTTCGCTATCTACAAATCTCTTCAGCATTTAAATAGATCAAATATTTCCAAAAGCTTAATACGCTCAGACTATCTTAGTGCAATACTAGCATTGCAGCATATATACCCGAAAACCCCCATTGAAAAAATGATAAAGTCCGAACTACTGCAGGCTCAAGAACACTCAAGATGCATACACATCATTTGAATACCCTCCCACGTCGGAATTGAAGGCAACGAGCAGATCAGTGTGTGCGTAATGCAATAACGAGTGAAGTGTCGGAAATAGTGTCTCACAGTGTCGCGAATGATCTTAAATCGTTCTTCAAAAAGAAAATATTGTGTATGTGCATTTTTTTGTATAAAAGTTTTCACCTCAGTTTTAAACAAATTAAATTTTGTTGTTAGTTTTGGGCTTTTTGGAAGCTTGTTAAATAATTTAGGTCCATAGTACATAAAGGAATGTTGGGTAGCAGTTTTATGAAAAAGGACAGTTTTAATATCAAAGTTAGTTTTTGACCGAGTATCCCTCTGATGATTCACGATAGTGAACTTTGATGAATCATGGAACATCCTAGTTAGGCAGTTGTAAACATATATTAAGTGAATATTTAGTAATTCAGTTTTTTGATATAAAAGATTTGTGGAATGATACTCATTCTAAAAATTATTTTAAGAAGAATATTTTGTGAAATTTGTAATGGTGATAGAGTTGATTTGAATGCTGCACCCCATACTGGGATGCAGTATTGAATTATAGATTCAGCAGGAGCTGTGTACAAAATCATTAAATTTTTTCTCGTTAGGATGTCCCGTAATTCATAAAATTTGTGTATTAAAATTCTTAGTCGTTTAGAAACATAGTTGATATGGTCTATCCATTTTAAATGTTGATCAACAATAACTCCTAGGTACTTAAGAGATTTGGTTTTTTCAATTATAAAACAGTCACAATTATTGGCAGCAACACAAGATGGTTTATGCAGTTTAATATAAAAAAAATTAGGCTGATCTGTAATGGTGGGAGAAAAAGTTATATATTTAGTTTTTTTCATGTTTAGAGAAAGTTTGTTATTATTTAACCATTTGTAAACGCTTTTCATGTTATGTTCAGTGGTAGATTTAACAGTATCCCAAGTAGATCTAGTAAAAATTATTACAGTATCATCTGCATAGCATATTATATGACCTTCGAAATTATTTATTTTACTGATACTGTTTATGTAAATTAAGAAAATAATAGGTCCTAATAATGTGCCTTGTCGTGCTCCTAATTGTATTATAGACTCTAAACTAAATTTATTCCCTATTTTTAACCTTTTGGGTTCTATTAGATTAGTAGTTATTTATTAATTCTAAAGCGACACCCCGGATGCCATAGTTATTAAGCTTATTAATTAATAAATCGTGATCAACCGTGTCGAAAGCCTTAGCCAGATCAAGAAAAACAACTAAGCTTTTTTCCGATCTGTCCAAGGTCTCCACTGTGGTACTGACAAGGTCCATTATGGCATTTTCGGTATTTGAATTTTTATGAACACAAATTGTCTTTTGTTATCACGTCATTTTAATTTAGGAACTCCATTAATCTTCTCTTGTAGGAATGTTTAAAAATTTTTGTAATATTGTTTATTACAGAAATGGGTCTATAATTATTTAACTGAGAAGCTTTACCTTCTTTAAATATTGGTGTAACATTTAAAACTTTCCATTGCTGAGGAAGTTGGCCTGTTAAAAAACATTGATTGATTATGTATACTAGTGGGACAAGAATATGACAATGAATGAGTTTTAAAGTTTTTGCACTTAATTATCTGAAAATTTATATTAATGTCCCCTAAAATGATTTCAATATTTCGTTTTTTAAAGTAGTTAAATAATAATCTAAATCTTTTATGTAAGTTAAAGTATTTGCACTAGGAGGCCTATAATATGCAGTTAACCATACTGTATTAGCCTGTAGAGAATTTATTGCAGAGATAGTTTATTTATAAAGTGTGTTATCTGCATTCATATGAAACAGGTTTTTATTTTTATTTTTATTGATTTATTTTTTTTTTTTTTGTTTACAAATTTGGACTTTATGAACTAGCCTCATAGTAAATGTATTAAATGTTATTAAATAGTGAAATTTCTATCATGGTGCTAGTCATTTGTTTTAGGATGTTAATGTTATCTAACCTAATCTAAATTAAGTCGTTTTTGTTTTTTATGAAAATAATTTTTCTATTAACATTTGCGTAAGTTTTCCCATCATCAGTTTATACTTGCTTTAGTCCATACTTTTTTATAGATTCATTTAAAAGTTCAACCCTGAAGCTTGTAAGATCTTCCCTAATTACCACTCCACTACCTTTAAACATCTTCTTTTTGGATTAAATATTTTTAGTGTATTCGTAGTTAATTAATTTTAAATGTCTTTGAACCTTCCTTTTTTCCAATTCTATAGCACAGAGCTATATCATTAAATGATATGTTTAATCCCATTTTGGTATTCATCAATTTATTTACTTCTTGTATTTTCTTCATGTTTTTCATTCAAATCAAAAATCCTTAAACTTCTTAAACGGTTAGACTAGTCCAATCTATCAATGGTATCGTTCATGCTTTGGTTTTCTTTCTATATTTTTCGATAATTATCTGTGAGCTCCGCCACTGACTTCTCTATCGGCGCGAGTTTGTTTTCGAATGTTTTTACTATAGCAGCAATCAGGTTATCAGATATTGTTTTTTTGAAATTTTCAGAATTTATACATTTAGTTAAAGCATTATTAACTGCATTT